CCCCCTCTCATCTGTAGTCAAGTGCAGGCCGCATTCAGTTTTCCGTCTGCAATTCGGTTTTCTTTGCTTTTTTCGGCTGTTTGCCTTCTCCCATTTGTCGAAATGGAATCGATTTTGTTGAAGCAACGGAGGTGGCATGGCTGTTTCCTCCCTACCCCCACTTGCTCCTTACTTTTACAGCCCCCTTCTTTTTCTTACTCTTTTCTTTTTTTTTTTTTTTGCTGAACCCACTGAAACCCCTCCATATCTTCGTTAGGCCAAAAGACAGAGCACGCAAAGGGGTGCAGACTGTTAAGGTGAATCCCCTTTTAGCAAAAGGCCATAACGGGAGAAGAGGTAAGCGGGTGAAGGCGGCTGCCCTACCCCCTAGTGGGCGGGCAATTTTCAGTCTGCCCCCCAAACTTCAATGGCCAAGTCGAAGATAAATGATGCATTTAACAAAAATGTGTAAAATGTTTAAAATACATAAATTGTCGACAAGTTGAGCAAGGAAAAAGCAAGCTGAAAACTTTGGAATAATCTGTAATAAATTAAACATTGAGCCAGGAAAATGAATTTAGTTTTTCCTACAGATTACAGCCAAATATTTTCAGGTATGCCAAGCTCTAGCTTTTTAAATATTTAAATTTATTTATTCATGGTAATACTGATGGAAATTTCTGAAGAGCTTTAAAGGTATTAAAAGCTAAGATAGTTTAAATTTCTTTGAATGGTTTTCTAGTGGTTGTTATCAGCAGAGGAAAACATGTTTAAAATATTTATAAATATATAAAAAATAAGTTAGTATCAATAGATAATGTTATTGGGATTGTGAGATAAAAAGTTAGTTTTCGAATGTTTTAAAAGAACTTAAGAAAATTGCATTTAAAAATTGAAATTAAACATCTAAGAAGTTTCCTTTCAAATAATCATCTAAACTTTGTCTTTTATGGACTATTAAAAACTTAATTTAAAACCATAATTTAAACTTTAAAAACTGTCATTGAACTAGCAACAACTATCAGATAAAACTTAGAAGTTTTTAAATTCAAATTCACAAACATATCCTCACAGCACGTCCCGTCTGCCTTTGCGGCTAACAACTTGGAATTGACCATCTGCTCAACTCATGCCGTCTTCTGCAGAGCGTCAGGGCCCTCATTTTCGGTCATAATAAACCTTCTCATAGTCCCAAATATAATTTCACAAGAAACCATAATGAACCTTTACCATTTTATAGTTAGAACCAACCAAAATATTTAAGTATTTTTAATTTACAAATTTTAATCTCGAGTCGTAGGCCCTAGCAGCTAGTACTCTTTAAGAAATACCTTAGATTTAGTATTGTTTACAAGATTTAGTTTTGTTAAAAAAAATATATAAATATAAAATTGTAAAGATTTTTAATTTTAATATCAGTAAGTGTTAGATTTAGCCAGAGGCAGAAGGCCTTAGCTGCTATTGCTCCTGGCGCTATGTTAGCTTTTTAGCTTCAAACTCATTGTTAAGCTTAAAAAAATAGAAAAATGACTAAAATGACTAAGAAAATTTAGTTTTATAACACCTAAGCTAGGTTTTTTTTTAATAAAATTACTAATAATCACAGTAAATCCTACACACCTTTGGGAAATTTGTTTTCTCTTAAACAATAGTGCCTTAGAATACATATTAATAACATGAAGATATAGTGACATGATAAACCTTCAATTAGTATTTAATCTTCAGAGATTTCTAGAGCAAAAAATCTTAAACAAAAAACCCAGCTTGTCCCCTAAGAAATTTCTATAACTTTTCTCATATTTGAACTCCAATTTCACCTCCAATAACACCTTAACTACCTGCAATAAATATAAATTACCAACCTCCTTGTAATTTAAGTAATATTTTCAGACCACGCCCCCTAATAGAAAGGGAAGCAAAATACGTCGGCTTCTGCAGGAGCGATAAACAATGCCAAATGCAACCACAACAACACAGCAACAAATAATCTAAGCTTGCAACGATACGCCAATAATATGTTGTCACTTGTCAATCAAGATGCAACATCAACAATAACAACAAAAACAACCTAAGCCAAGGCACTTGAAATAAACAACAACAATCTAAACAAGGGGAAAAGCAGGGAAAATCGAAGGACAGAGAGAGAGAGAGAGTGTGTGGGGCAACGGATTTCAGCTAAAAGTAGGCGGGGCAGATCGCTCATGCAACTTTTGTTTTGTTGACTGCGCTTCGAGACTTTGACTGACTGACTGACGGCTGTCAGAAAATGCCACACGACCCAAAGTGAAGTGAAAATTGGCAACAATGAATGGAAAAACAAAAAAACAACAGAAAAAAACGTAATAAAACTGTGGAAAAAGTGCAGCCAGAAGAAGCTGAAGAAGAAACTGCAACACGCGACTTTCCCAAATAAAATAACACAACAAAAACAAAAACAAACAACAACGCATTATAAACAATATGTTGGACTGGCAATGTTGCTTTCTTGTTTTGCATGTTGCACCGGCTATAGCGGCCGCAATTTCCAGCGATTTTCACCACCGGCAACCGCAGGCGGCGGCAACAATCAGTAAAAGTTTTCCAAAACAGTAAAAGCCAGCAGCAGAAATAAAAGAAATGAAAAGTGAAAAGCCAACTTAGATTAACCGCTCCCTGGCCATTCCATTCCATTGATCATTAACTCCCTAGCTGGCTAGCTGCCAAAAGGAGGGATTGGATGAGCGGTTAATACAGTGAAATCAGAAAGTAATTAAATTAGTCTAATTACTGAAGAAGAAGAAGAAGAAGAGGTGGAAGAGGGCGGTGGGATAGGGCAAAATCAAAAGTTGATTGAAAGGTTACTGAGTGTGAGGTTTGAGATTCATTGATAAGTGACCCTAAAACTATTCAAGTTTTAGGTTTTTTAACTTTTCGAAAAATGTCCTAGAGTCTTGTTTAATAATGGCAATTATATTATCATACTAAAAAATGGTAAAGTTAGAAAAATAAAAAATGGATTGAAAGGTTAGGTTTGAGATTCATTGATAAGTGACCTTAAAACTATTTAAGTTTAAGGTTTTGTGAATCTTCAAGAAATCTCCTACAAAATTGTTTAATAATAGCAATTATACGAAACATGCCATATATATTTCTTATAAACTTTTAATCTATTATTCAGTTTAATACATAAACAAAGGTTTTTGTATTAGGAATGAGGTAAATACCTAAAAGTTTCTAGTGTTAAAGTTTCTAATAATGATCTGATTTTAATTTTAAAAAAATTCCCTTTTATTTTGAAGTGCTTAAAGAAAGGTATTATCAACTTTTACTAGAAAGTATTCTCCTTTTCAAAGAAACTTATATAAAATTAAGGTATAAGTTAAAGGAATTAAGCATAAAACCATGAAACTTAAAAGATTATTTTTTCTTTTTGTTAAAGAAATCCCTTACTAGAATTTAATGTGTTTTTCTCAAATAATATTTAAGAATTAAGCATAAAACTTTCTAACATTTCTATCAATGCAATCTCATATTTTCCTACTTACATCTACTAAAAAAAAAACTGTTTCCACATTTGATAACTTAATTAAGAGTCTAACATTCTGAATGACTTGTTCTTTCCAAGAACACTTTTTCACTAATAGAGACCCCAGCTAGTGCAACATCCTCATCCTTAGCCGCCGGCCCGAGACAGGGAAATCAACTTTATTTTTCTTTTTAGCATATGAAAAGAATTCAAATGAAGGGGGACAAATCATCAGCAACTAGCAGTCAGCGATGAATAATTACGTGCTGATGGGCAAGGAGGGGCAGGCAGGCAGCACAGTAGTGCAAAACGACACACAAATGACTTGGCCAGGCGGATGCGGAAAAACTTTTCCTCTCCAAAACGAACGAACCTCATAGATCTTGAAAAGCGACTAGCTCTGGCAAAGTCCACGAATAACTCACGTTCCGCGTTGCTCAGATAAAAAAAAAAAAAAAAAGAGAAATAGAAACTCCAAGTCGGAATCAGAATCTCGAGTTCGAGCTCTAGCTCTGGCTCTGGTAATTACAAGCTGTGTGGATGGGGTCGCTTGACGGATTGTCGACAGAACTAACAATTATATAAGCCAGAGGCCGTCGAGATTCGCGGCTTGCTTGGCTTGCATCACTTAGAAAAAAAAAATCTTTTGATTTGTTCAAAATACACAACTTTTTTGCGGTGCTGCTGCTGCTGCTGTGTTGCTGCTTTTCAAGGTATTTTTCAAATGCAGCCAAAGGAACGTCAAAAAGTCAGCTAAGTAGTACCTACAATTGCTTGTAGCTACAGCGAATGTATCTTGTAGCTACAAGTTGGCGGCGCAGTTCGAATGCGAGCTGTGTGAGTGAAACTGAACTGAAACCGAAAGAGTACAACAGCAACAACAACAAAACCAGCACACTCGCATACAAAAATATATAAAAAAAAATCGCTGACCTCATTATTGTTTTGTGTATATATATATGTACATATATACATATAGTATGTAAGTATGTATATGCATTCTCCGCTTGGATTGCTGGCTTCGTATTTATTTCGCTGCTCTTTTGAGTCCGCGGACTGCACCAGCTCTAATGTGAGGCAACTGTGCATTGATGAGATACCCGCGTATCTGCTGGATGAGATTTGCATTCGAGTCGAAAGATAATCCCAAGCTCTTTTGAAATCCCCAAATGAAATTTCAAATCCATTTCACAATCTTAAAATTGCAAGAATTTGGTGTTAGGGCGGCAATTATGTTAAGAAAAGTCTCAGTTCAGATTTCTATATTCCAATCATGGTTAGATGGCCATGTCCGAAAGCGCAACAAAAACTCCTTGAAAGTTTGCAATTAAATTTACATCCCAAAACTTCAAACCCTCTAAAACCATCAACTTCCTAAAGTTTTCCTCCTAACTACGCCTAACATTGACTTCTTTTAACACTCTTTTTTAATCAATATCCCAATAAAACCTTTAAATATTATTCAAATACATAAATAACAAATAAAATCAAGACAACAAAAATCCTTAAAACTCACCACATGAACACTGCTCTGCAGCTGTCCGGCTAACATTGTCTGGGCCTGCTGATGTTGCTGGTGCTGTTGATGTTGCTGGTGTTGCTGCTGCTGCTGCTGCTGCTGATGCTGTTGCGAGGGATCTGGCAGCTTCTTATCGGTCTTCTTGGCCGCCCGCTTATTCTTGCTCTCAAGGAAGCGTTTCTGGAGGACAGTGGTCTCCTGGTTCTGCTGCTCACAGACAGTGTTAAAGGCCTGCTCGTAGCGTGGCACGCAGTCTGTCTGCCGGCGGCGATAGTTCTCCATGCGACGTCGCAGGCGGTCGACGACCGGCATCCGCTTGGTGGGCATATTGTCGCCAGGAGCGGTGGTGTTAACTGCTCCTGGATTCGCAGGGCCGCCAGCTCCGTTGCCGCCAGTGATTCCAGCAATTCCGCCTGTTGCTCCCAGGTTGGCATTGTAGGGAGAATGTTGCTGCTGCTGCTGCTGCTGTTGCTGTTGCTGTTGCACTTGGATCTGTTGCTGCTGCTGCGCCTGGGCATTGTGTTGCTGCTGTTGCAATTGCAATTGCTGTTGCTGCTGCAGATGGAGACCCAAGTGTTGCTGATGCAACTGGAGATTCAAATGTTGCTGCTGCTGCTGCTGCTGCTGTTGTTGTTGCTGCTGCTGTTGCTGGGCGGCTACGGCGGCTGCTTGGCTGGCGCTTTGGAAAACTGGCAGGCCGCCCGCATCCATAAATGCGTCCGTGGTGAGGCTTTCGCTGGCGCTCGTTGCTTCGCAGCTTTCGTCTCAGTCGGCGACGAACGCTGACGGCGACGAAATCGCGAAGAACAAGGCGGCGACAGCGGCGTCGAATAAAAATATATATATATATATGTATATATCGGTTGTCTATATATCTGATATCGTCTGATGTTGCTGGCAGCTCTTTTGATTGCTGCTGTTCCGGAAATACCTATTCTACGCGGCGAGGTGTGAGGCAATACGCTGCTGTGGCAGGTGAAGGCAGCCACTAGAAAACGAAGTCAACATCCTGTTGCAAGTCCTGTAAAAGGGAAAAGAGTTGCAAGTTAATTAGTTGCAAGTTTATAGAGTTTGATAATGATGAAGGAGGTAATTAATAATGATTTTAAATTCTTCATTCTTGAAATTTAAGAACCAAGAAGGTAGACTAATCTTAATCTCTATAAAAGAATACTTTCTAAAATATTTTTTGTTGTTTTTCAGAATTTTAAAACTTGTTATAATGTGTTTTAAAGTTCTTCTAACACCCCAAACTATAGTTCTAAAATGCCTAATTTAAGTTTAAGCTTTCTACTTCAAAAACCTAACCAAAACGTAGAAATCTTCTGAATCCGAAACTTAAGCAGCTTTCTTATCAGTCGCAAGGTCATTCACGCTATTCTTCGCTACTATCCCCATTTGAATTTCGGCGATTTTTCGATCCGCTGGAAGCGAAACTAAATATGAACTAAATAACTGATAAGAAACAGAAAGTGAGAGCAGGCGAAAAAGGGAAGAGCGTATGAGTAATGTCAATACAGACACACGTATGCCTATGAAAGAAACCACAACAAATCAGAATCAAAATAGATTGACGAACACAATTTCGAAGAACTGATAAAAACAATGCAACCGTACAGTATAAATGCGTTTAAGAAATACTCTACTTTATACACTGAGAGAAAATATTTGTAAAAAGCATGAAATTGCAAAAAGAAAAATTAACTTTAAATAGTACTTTCATAAAGCAAATATTTTATCTCTTAATAAGTTTATGTTAATAATAAATAGTTATAAGAGACCTTCAAAGAATAAATCTTAGCTAACTGATAAGGCTTAGCCATTTTTTATGAGGAATGTACACTAAAACAAAATTTGGTAACACAAGAAAATGAAACTATAGCTTATCAACCTCATAATCAGTCTTATTATGGAAAGTATTTCAAATAAAGTTTTCAAGATCAAAAGATTAAGTAATCATCGTATAAATTGTATACCATTTTTATGTACATAATTTACATTTTGTTCTATATTTGTATTTCCTAACTTTTTGCTCAGTGAATCAAAGCAAAGCTGATTAAAGCCATTAATCGCTGGCAAAACGCGAGCGGCCGTTGCGCGTTTTCTTATACACATTCGCATTCGCGTGTCTCAAAAAAGCGAGAAACAGAGAACAAAACAAAGTCAAATGGAATCGGATTCGGTATCAGAGAATCGGAGAATCGGAATCGGGAATGAGCGACTAAGCGACTGAGCGACTGACAAACTCAACTGGCCTGCGCCGCGTCTGGCGGTTGAATGAATGACTGATGGACGACGGCAAGCGGTTGGAGCTGGATGGAGCTCAGTGGTGGTGCTTGGCTTAGCCTGCCTGCTTGCCTGCCTGCTATGGGATGGTGCTGAGAAATCGGTGGTGCTGAGTGCACCGAGCGGTGCTATATGGGCTCTACCCAGCTGTAGAAAGAGTCAACGGTCGTTGGGGCGAAACGAAACAAAAAAAAAAAAGCAACCGAATAGCAGCGAACGACAACCGACGACGAACTTTGGATGTTGCAGAGGCGCAAATGAGCAGAAAACCTTTGGCAACTTATGCCTGATATTGCCACACGCGAGAACATAAATAACTCTTAGCTTAAGATTAAAATTGTTGATATTGATTTTACAATAATTATTTTATTAAATAAATTTAATCTAGTTACAAATTGAGAACTATAACTTTTTGAAAATTAAACTTTAAATATTATTTTTACATAAACTTTAAAATATTTATAGTTTTTAAGATCTTTAAAGTTCAAATTTTAACTATAGAAATTATTTTAAAGTGTCACTTTACTGATAAGCACATAAAATGCCTCATTTTATCTCGATTAATATTACGATTTTTCCTCAAGTTATACATTATGGAAGTTCGACTGTATTAGTTGAGTGGCACGTGGATGAAAGGGGGTGGAATGAACAGACGGGGTGATGCAGGCAAATTAAGCTGTAAACAAGAGGCGAGATGAGAAGGCTAAGCCAAGACCCTAAAGCCCAAACTCCATCCGCTGCATCAGTGGAAACTGGTTCTATAGGTGTGTGTGTGTGTGCTTTTTTTTCTTTTGTCAGTTTGGCTCGAAATATCGGGAACATTTTGGAAACGCCAGCGCGACTTTACTCGCGTTCGAAACAAAAACAAAAATCCACTCGCATACAAACGAACGGCGGTTTGGCCGAACCGAATACCAGGCGCTCAGCATTATTAGTTAGAGATAGGAAAGGAAAACGGGAGAGTGGGTGGCCAAACTGGGGGGGAGCGAGAAAGCGACTGACGAGTGCAAATGAGCGAGACAGCAGGGCTGTTGCTCTCACTACAGGTGCGAGTGGGAGGAGGCAATAACGGAGTGAGAGAATGTGTCTAAGAGCGTATTATGTTAGAGAGTAACACTTACGAGCTATATTGTAAGTGAGTGAATGAGAGTTACAGTAAACTGAGTGAAAGAGCAACTAAATCACTCGCAAAAAAAAGGTCAAATTTGAGGCGAGCGATTTGTTTGCTTTTCTTTGCTAATGTTGTTATTGTTATCGCTACTGCCGCTGCGTTTAATTAAAAAACAGAACTCCGTTAACCCATTGAGGTAGGCGGTGTCAAATGGAACGGAAATACAGCTACATAAAATGAAAACCCACGTAATCACGAAGTGCTTCTCATCTTAAGAAATTCAAAACAAACGGAAAGAAAACTAAATAATAATACAAAGAAAACCAACAATATTTCAACTTAACCAACCCTTTTCCAGATATAAGCAATTGAATGTTACAATTAATATCATAAAAAACAATAAAATCTTTAGTCATTGAACTGCTTTCATAAACATATCTTAACAAAAGCATAATAATAAATATTATTATCAAATCTCCACAGAACTAAAGAAACATTGATAAGAAAACGAGTAAAGTCCCAAAGGAAAAAATGAAAAAAGGAACGATATGAAGGGCTTTCAAAAAACGCCTCCATAATGTTTAAGAGGGGCTTAGCATTTTTAATTAAAACGCTTTGTTGGGGCATCATTAATTTTCGGCCACGGCTCTTGCAAGATTCGGGGGAAAACAGTTTTCAAAGGAAGTAAAGGAGGAAATCGATAAGAGCCATAAAAGTTCATATCATTTCTGTTCATATAAATTCTTTTGAAAAGCTATTTGTTTGGCTTCAATAAAAAAGAATTACGTTTTACATTACTTTAACCGTAAGAACGCGTACTTACAACGCAGGTATTGCAATCACTTAAGGAACGTAATGATTAGCAACTGCCGTTACTTTTTTACGATTTTCTATGATCTGAGTAAGGTAAATGAAGTTGAAGAGAGAGTGAGATAGTTAGTAGGAAGAAGGACCGCACGATTTTTAGAGCAACAATTGCCCAGGTACAGTGGTAATCCTAAGGAATCCTAAGGATTACAGAGCAGGTAGCTAAACCAAAAGTAGCCATTTGTGGTATAGCAACATTTTTGATGTACCCTTAAACTAATTTATTCGTAATTCTCTACGTTTGACGTTCGTATCTTCTCCTCAATTTAAATTTACATGGGAAAACAAATCCAGTATAATTTTATCTTTCAGATTTTTACCCAATGATCTCAATTCTCGTTCCTAATAGAACGCGCCAATCGAAAGAGAGCACAACATATATAGACGCAATCGCAGTGAGAGAGAGAGAGGGTGAGAGAGGGAAAACACGAGAGACCCCACTGTTAAAGTCCCCCATTCGACTGATGTTCGGGACTGCTTAACATCGACCGGCGGCACAAAAACATTGCAAAATCGGCGCGAATTAAAAAATCGCCGGCGACGACAGAAACGCGGCAGAAACGGACGGTAGTCCGTCGCCTCGCGTTTCTCGCAGCGCCCAAAGCCAGAAAACAGCGTGCGGCGTTCGATGTGGAATCGCATCGAATCCCGAAACAGAGACAGAAATCAAACGGCGTCGACTTACGTCGCGCGTCTATCGCAAAAACGAACAGGCGCCCAGAAATGTTAGCAGCTAGATTTCGGTGCGTTTTTAGTCGCCGCTGTTAGTGCTCAAAAACGGTACTGCCTGCGAGAAAGAGAGCAAAAGAGCGAGTAATGATGACAGAGGGTGGGGAGAAGAAATAGCTGAAAGCAAAGAGAGCAAATCATTTTATTCACTCTCTATGCGCATGTTTGTGTGTGTTTATGCTGCGAGGTGCACAGAGAACAATTTTTGTAAGAATTTTATGACAAAGTTGATATTTTTTTTGAATTTATTGAGATATATATTGTTTAGATATATTGTTTAATTTTTGCCAAATCAAACAGCTTTGGGAAAATAAGTTTTTATAAATTAAATAATTTGGATATTATTGAGAAATTGAGAAATTCCATTTAATTTCAATATCAAATGTAATGTAGACTTCTCTCCGTTAATAAATTAATAAATAAAATCGGACATACATTTTTTGCTATATTTCATTATGAAGCAGTTATTTCTCACCGTGTAGCTACTAAAATGGAATAGCGTTAGTATTTATGTCATTTGCATCTTAATATTAAATTGACGTAAACATCGAAGCGGTTTATATAATTTTTATCCGTGAACCGTACTATTTAATCTGATAAACTGATCATAAAACGCACGTCAGCAATGGATGGAATTAATGAATTAATTTGGGAAGTGCAAACAAAAATAAAATCGCGCGCGTTTTTAGTCGCCAAGCAGTAATAATGCTCTTTTCAAACGCAACCAACGAGAAGATACATTTTATTGCAATGGGAAAAAAGCGAGGACGGCTGAAAATCGTCGGCTGGCTGAAACGTCTGTTGGCCCATGAGAAAACGACGCCAAACAAAATGGTGCCGCCTCCAAATGACGAAAGCGACAAACTAACTAAGTAACTAACGACTAACGTCTAACGGCAAACGACAAACAAACAGACAAACAAACGACAGAGACGACAAACGTCGGCGGCGACAAAAAGTCAATTTTATCGGATGCTAACAGGCTCTAAGCAGCCGGAGAAAGCAAAAGCTGAAAAGGTGGAAAATGC